TTTTTTCCTCCTCTTAGTTTTTGCTTGTTTGCTCCAGTTACTCCTTTAGTGTTTGAACTGTTTTTGTCCGACTCCACCTGACTCCACCCTGAACAGCTTTTCTTTCTTTGTGTTCATCAGGTCCAGAGGCTGGAGACCAGCCGAGTTTCCAGTTTCTGTTACTTTTTGTGTTCTAAATAAATAAAGTCTATAAACTAAAACTGGGTCCTTGTCTTCTGCTCTGCCACGAGACAAGGAATCAGGTCATGTGAGTCCTGCAGCTGAAAATAGAGCGGAGCTCCTCGTCCTGCTTCTGGCTCGTTGATCAAGTCCTCCTCACATTTATGTCCTCCTTCCTGAGTGACGACTGTCAGTCATGTGATGTTGACTTCCTACAGGCGGTGGTTGTGTTGATTGGTGTTGGTCAACAGGTAAACGTGTGTAAACTCCAGGGTTACCTTGTTTGTTCCAGGTGCATTGAAGCTCTGAACCAGTTAGTTTCAGGACGCTCATGGAGCAAAGTACCTCGAGCTCCTTTTAGGTGGAGATGCTGGTTTTAGATGTTTCTTCACATCACTCCTCTGACTGGTTGTCAAGCTGAACGAGCTCAACGAATCTTCCTACATTTACTCACTTTAGTTTCGAGTCCCAGCCTCTGTTAATAAAATATCTTTCTTCTGCAGTTCAGCTGAAGTCACAGGACGTTCTTTGGATACGAGGTGGGACGTGTTTAGGAGTCTGTCAGAGTAGTAGCACTGCAGCCTCGTCATTTCTCCAGCAGACCGCCACGAGGAGACGTCTGACAGCAGACCAAGCACTAGCTGCTGTTTTACTCTGAGGACAGTGAGCAGGATGAGCAAGATGTTTCCAGCAGAAAAGACTGGCTGCAGCAGAAGTACAGGAAGTCATTCATACATCACATTTTTATGACTTTTACCAGAGAACCCATTTTGGACCCAAAGGTATTAGATGTTAGATCAGTTTAAAGGTACCTCGAGGATTAAACTCAGTTCAACTCTGATGAACTCAGATTAACTACTGGGTATTAAACCCTTGGTGCTCAGTTTGGACTGGCCTGGTGTCTCCAGGACGTCCATCAGTTTTAGTCCAGGTGGTCCTCCTGACCGTCCTGATGATGGTCTTGGCTCTTCATCCTTGTGTGAACTCGTTCTTCTGCTCCTCCTCCTCAGTTCAAAGATCCTCTCATCCTGCTGCTGCTGGCGTCGGCCGTCATCAGCGTCGCCATGCACCAGTTCGATGACGCCATCAGCATCACTGTGGTAAGTTGGTCACTCCTTGAAATGTCCGTTTCTCCTGAATCTGCTGCTGCACGTGGCAAAGAAAGAGCTGAAGACCTGCTGCTGCCTGGGTCTCAGTCTGGCTCAAATTAGACCATTAAAACACATTTGATGTTATAATCAAATAAATAATGTCAACTATGATCATTAAAACCAGAAGTAACACCCCCACTGTTCTGAGAACCAACTCTTTGAGTTAAATTAAATTCTTTACTATCAAGTCAAGTCACGTTTATTTTTATAGCACATTTAAAACAGTAACTGTTCTCAACGTGCTACCAAAAACATCACAGCATGAAATATTAATAACAACATATTACAGCAACACGAATAAAAGCTTAAAAACATGAAATATAATGAGAAACAGTGAAATACTAAATCAAATCACCCTGCGTTAAATGTCAGAGAGTACAGGTGTGTCAGTGAGTACAGGTGTGTCAGTGAGTACAGGTGTGTCAGTGAGTACAGGTGTGTCAGTGAGTACAGGTGTGTCAGTGAGTACACGTGTGTCAGTGAGTACACGTGTGTCAGTG